CCCCTACACTGCTCTCTAATAGGTCATTATTAGACCTAATAGGTCATTATTAGACCCATTATTAGAGACTGGAGGAAATGGCCATTTCTTGGTGAGACTGGAGGAAGCGACCATCCCAGGTCCATGCAGGTGGTTCCCCAAGGCGGTTCAGGCTCTTCAAGGAAGGACTTTCCTCCTTGGCCTTGCTGTCACAGCCTAACACACGTGGTGTCTTTCATAGCACACTTGTTTTCATGCTTAACAACTCCCCGTTGTATCTCCCTCCTGCTTTACAGCTTTTTGCCCAGTTTATCAGTACTTTTTTGCTACCGTTAGTGAAGCAAGGCTAATTTGACATCATTTGAGATTTCCGCCCGGCGTCCCAGATTCCATCTAGCCAATTTACATTGCTTCTTATATCTTTAATTTTGGCTGGCTTGTTCTTCTGCCAAATTTCTGTATTTGGAGCAGGCAGGGAGCTTGGCATTCCCAGTGCATTGGCTCATGCCCCGAAACGGCCGCGCTGTGACGGGGCTCCTCTGCATTCCTGACTTATTAAAGGGAAGGCGGTGGATTCCCTAATGCCTCACCTGGCGTCTCCTCCAGGATGTTTTTCTGCTTCCCTCTCCGTATTTCTCAGTGCCACAGCTCTGTGTTAACTTCTTTACCCTCCTTCATCCCGTGGTGTTGTCCAGGTTGAGTCAGGCACAGTAAAAAAGCAAAGGATTTTCTCAGCTCCCAACCACTGTGGGGCAAGGCTGGATGTGGGGACTCCCAGGATGTGCAGGGACGGTGACAATAGAAGCACTCATTTTTGACAGGCATTGTCATTTGAAAGCGAAACACTCATTAAATTGCTGCATAGGGAAAGTCGACAAAGTTGCTGCGGTGCCAAAGTGAAAATGGAGCCTAACTGGTTTTTCTGGGGTCTTTCTTTCTTTCTTTGATTGTGCAGGTTTGGAGTGTAATGATGAAAAGGGTTTAGATACGTAGTCTTAATGATATTACTGGGTATTAACATGAAAGACAAGCTACTGTTGTGATCAAATAATCAAAGTTCACCTGGGCTTTCAATAAGTTAAGTGGGTACATATGGGGTTTTGGTCAGGTACAAAGGAAATAAGGATTTGTTTGAAGGTTGGGGCAGTGCCTGCATCCAGTCTAGAATAAAAATTATATAAATGTGAACTGCTCCCCTTGATTAACAGGGAGGATCGCACTTTCAGAGCTAAAAAGCAGCGCAGTTATGGCTTTGAGTCAAAGAACCGACTTCTGCAGGAGAGATGCCACAACAAAGCCACATTTCTTGTGGTTCAGGCACAGATGAGCACACTCAGAGCTGAGCAGCTCCCTGTGGTAAAGGGAGCATTTCACCCTCACTGATTTGTGCCCGGTGTGGGGTTCACCCATGAGTAAACCTTGAGAACCGGTGGCACAGCTGTACAAGTGTTGCTATGCTTTACTATTCAGTTGCACTACAAAATTATTTGTGGACCTTTTTCTTGGCCTCAAAAACCACTTTAGTTCCCAAGAAGTGATGATTTTTAATAAGCATCCTCAGGAAGTGATCCCGTAGGGGTGGGCTTCATCTCAGCCAGTGGCTGATCTCCTCTGAGCTGCTCCTCATCTCACCCTGCTCAGGAAGACATTGTCACTTTTGGGGTGACATTTCCCGTGACTGCGTACACATAAAAGCACTGATTAGAGCTTCTAAAGAAAAGAATCTCACCTTTTTCTAACTAGTTTCTTTAATGTGTGATAAGAAGCTGACTCCTTGAGAAAGTCACCTGCAGGACTGGAGGAAACGGAGCTGCTCCTGGTGTTTTTTGTGTCCAATTGTGCTGCAGGTCACAGCTTTGCCAGCTGAGCTCGTTGTGCAAGGGCTGCAATCAAACGTGACTGGAGCTCATCTGAGAGTCACTGGACGGGGCGTTCCCATTGCTGTGATTGCACGGGGATCACGAGAGCATGGGGACACCAACAGCCAGGTGCTCTCCCGAATTACGTGAGCTGAAGATGAGGAGCTCTGTGCATGGTGAACTGCATGATTGAACTTTATGAGCAGCTCCTGGTTTACCTAATGCTGCCACCCCTAACCAGGGACTGCACTTAGAAAGGGCATGGAGCTGTCAGTGCAGCCCTCCTGGCATGAAGTCAATGCCAATGTGTGCAGAATGAAGCCAAGTGATGGGTTGGCCCCATTGCTGGGGGGCACCAAACAGTGTGGGACCCCGGCAAGCCATTACTGGGTGTTACTGGGTGCACCTCTGCCCCATGAAACCCTTGAGGCAGGGGATGCTGTTGCTGCCTGGCTCTTTGGATACCATTCAGTCTTACCATGCCGGGGAGGATTATACAAAAGCTTAATTACTCTTACTATGGGGAGCTGACATCCAACGACTCATCCTCAGCGATGAGTACGCTGATGGTAGTCACTGCGAGTGTTGCACACAGGACAGCTGTTGTATAGGAGCTAATAGGATATGTCGTGGGTACCTCATACCTTCCAGGCACATTTAGTCGCTATATAAAAGCTCTCCTGCTATTAGAGCGCACTGGTCACAACACGAAGCTGTTCTCACCAGGGAGCTGGGTAAGTCTGGTTGGTGCTGAGCCTCTATAGCTGCTGAAATGCAGGTTTATTTCTTATTTTTTTTACATATTAAAAATGTTCTGTGGGAGAAGTTTTTTTAAAGCTAGTGGGTTTGGATTGCTGGAGTGGGCATGAACTTCCTCACAGTGTCTGCAGCTGAGCATTCAACTCCGCGATGCTCCTGAAAAATGTGAGGGGAGGCTTTTAGCACTATTTGAGGTGCTGGTGTTGTTGTTATTTGCTTTTGGGGGAGCCTCACAACAGCCAGAGCAGCTGGGAACACGACTCTAGAAGAGCCGTAATCAGATTTGTGTTCGTTGTGGTATCATTACTCTTTAATTGGCTTTTGTTCCCTAATGGACTTGGTGATGAGCTGTGAACCTCTGCTTGCCCGCGGTGTGCTGGGATCACTGAGCAGCGGTGCCTTGGGTGCTGTTTGTCTCCTGCTATGACAGATGTAGCCTGAGGTTCAGAGCTTATTTCTGGCTTGGGTCTTTTGCTCGATGCATCAGCAAGAGGTCAGAGGCCCTCACAACCAAAAATAGGCGAGGAAAACTGGATTTAATGATGGAAAGGCAGCTCTGAGCTCAGCCATTCCTCTGCTGACCTCCAAAACCAGTTCTCCCCCTCAAAGATCCTGGTGATGGGGAGGGAGATGCAGTCTGGGGAGATATTTAGTGCTGAATACCTCTGAATTTCCCCACTGTTCGACATAATGTGAGTTTACAATGATGGGTTTGGTCCTGGGCTGCTGCCGGTGTGGATTTGAGAGACTAGCACAGACAGGACGTGTCTCTGTCACCCAGTGAAGTGACCCGGTCCTGCGGCACGGGCAGCAGCGGGACAGCAAGAAACTTGTCTAAAAATGCTTGTTTAAAGACTGCTTTCTCCCCGGTTGTTCCAGTCCTACTGAAACCTCACCGAGATGTCGTGCTACCTCCAGCAGTGCCTGACCCCGCTCTACCAGGCACCCACCCCCATCAAGCGCCCGCCGATGTATGGTGCCAAGTGCTCGCCAGCGCCCACCTGGCACTCAACGCTCTGCATCCCACAGTGTGCCACCTCCTGCGTCCCCCCGCAGCGGGCGATGTCCTCCAGCTTCTCTGAACACCAGTGTGTGACCCAGTGCGTGCCACCACGGCAGTGTGTGACCCAGTACGTGCCACCACGGCAGTGTGTGACTCAGTACGTGCCACCACGGCAGTGCGTGACCCAGCGCATCCTCCAGCAGCCGTGTGTGCCTCGGTATGTGACAACCTGTGTGCCACAGCAGCAGTGTGCCACCAAAGGTGTCCCACAGCAGCCTTGTGTGACCAAGTGCATGCCACAGCAGCAGTGCGGGAGCAAGGGCATGGCCACCTACGCTCCCCAGCAGCAATGTGCCACCAAGTGCATCCCCCAGCAGCAATGTGCCACCAAGTGCATCCCGCAGCAGCAATGTGCCACCAAGTGCATCCCCCAGCAGCAATGTGCCACCAAGTGCATCTCGCAGCAGCGATACGTGACCAAGTGCATGCCACAGCAGCCGTACCAGACCAAGGGCATCCCGCAGCAGCAGGGTGCCACCAAGTGCGTCCCGCAGCAGTGTGTGACCACCTATGCCCCGCAGAAGCAAGGTGCCACCAGGTGCGTGACCACGTGCGTCCCGCAGCAGCGTGCCACCAAGGGCGTCTCGCACCGGTTTGTGACCTCCTGTGCCCCGCAGCAGTGTGCCACCGCGCATGGCCAGCAGCAAACGGCAACCAGGTGTGTGACCAAGTGCGTGCCTCAGCAGTGCGCCACCAAGGGTGCCACCATCTGCGTCCCACAGCAGTGTGACACAACTTCCGTCCCACAGCGGTGTGTGACCAAGTGTGTGCCACAGCAGCAGTGTGTGACCAAGTGCGTCCCACAGCAGTGTGTGACCAAGGGTGTTTCACAGCAATGTGCCACCAAGGGTGTCCCACAGCAATGTGCCACCAAGAGTGTGCCGCAGCAGTGTGCCACCAAATGTGTCCCACAGCAGCAGTGTGCCCCCAAATGCGTCCCACAGCAGCAATGTGCCCCCAAGTGTGTCCCACAGCAGTGCGAGTCAGGTGGAGTAAAAATTTCGAGTCACTCTAAGAAGTACTGCTCTGCCACCAAATGGCCCTGGTAAAAACGAGCGGGGAAGGGAAGGTCCATGGAAAAAAGCGAGGTCCAGCTTTGGGACAGGGGTTATTTATCTCCTCATGCCACCTGCC